TATGTGAGATATGGACTTTTTAAACTTGGATACGAGACACATAATGAGTAGGTTCGAGTTAATGCCTTCAGCACAGACAACAGTTATGTGGCTTTAAGGTAAACTAAGCAGATGATGCGCTAGTTGTTAAACCGGAGATATGAAGAAGACTGTTGGATCTAAATACCTTCTAGAAACATAAGTTGCAAACAGACACAATAAAAGACTGTTACATGGCCTTAAAAATTAATTTGTGAGGCACAAAAGGGACATTTTTCTTGTTTCTTTAGATATCTCAAAAACTGCCTTTACAGGAGCGTTCTCCAAAAGTGTAGACCAAAGTTGTCTATTGCGTTTAGCTGTGAAGGTGCAAGATAGGAGCTGCCAGAGGTAGAATCTCTGCTGTCCTTCGTGTTGAGACTGAGCAAGAGGAAAGCTGGTAATGTACGAGAGGTAGCACAGAAGCATATGTGTAAGGTGCTATATATGTATTTCTATTGTGGTATAAGGGTCTTTTATATATAGGTCATTTCTTGCAAGGTTTTACTAATATATCGTGCTTATCACATTTCATTTTTATCAGATTTATTTATTCCTAATAAAAAAAAGTTAAAGCCACAAAGAATTGTAGTAATGTTGGTTTTATTTGTGAATTTTATGCAGGCAGTCCTGTACAAGTGACTCAAACTTCCATTTCTTCTTATCATTAAGAACCTGCTGTACTCAAGACTACCAAAAGAATTCAGCGTAGTGGCTACTTTCCTACTGTCCTGGTTTAGGGCTGGGCCGGCCACTAAATCCTGGACAGACGCTCTCTGTTAACCCCTCTCCCCTCCCCAGAAGGGAAGAGAAAAGAGAATAAGGGAGAGAGATTTTACAGGTTGGAAAATAAAACTAACAGATTTAATGAAACAATACTACTAATACTACAGATAATAATGTAAATAGGAAAATAATGAAATATATACAAATATGTACAAATATATACAAAACCAATATAAAATCCCTCACTCACCCTTCCCCCCCCAATGACGAATACGTCACCAGAGGCTCTGTGGAGCAGGGCACTGGAAAAGTCCCAGACCAAACTCAGCAGCAGTGGGAGCAGGATGCAGGACACACAAATCAGGATCAGCGGCAGATGAACGAGCAGGATTCTGCTCAGGCCTCGGCCTCTGCAGGATCGAGATGGACGGAAGGGTCGAGATGGAAGGAACGGTGGAAAAAAGGCAAAAGCAGGCAAAAAAAAAAAAAGGGACGAGACCCTCATGATCTCTCGGTTTTATACCGAGTACGACGTATGTGGGATGGAATACCTCGTTGATCAGTTTTGGGTCTGCTTCTCCCCCCGTAGGCGCAGACACAGCACCCAGGATGAGACAACTGACCTTGAGCATATCTTCTAGCAGCGCTGTTTGGGAAAAACATGCTGCCAGTTTTCAGCAAGTTCAGTCACTTGAAAGAGACTGAGCTGAAAAGTAAAATCACTAAATAGAAAATTAGTTCTATTTAGCTCAAACCAGGACACCTACAAGTAAACTGTTGTGGTAAGGGCTCAGTCTGAATAGTCTGTTAATCTGCTGAGCATGAAGAAAATAAATTGAGGAAATATAAGTATGTGATAGAAAGCAATTAAGTGATTTTGAAATATTTGAGACAGTAAAATTTGGCTCACACAAGGAGCCTGAAATTTCTTTGTCTTTCAAAACTCCAATAAAAAGGAAGGTTGTGGGTGTTTTTGTTCATAGCTCCAATTTTGTCTCTCTTAAGGAGAAGGAAATCAAGTAGTTAGGTTTTTATTATTTTTTTAGATTAAAAAAAAATAAAAATCTATACAATGATTGAATCTATACCAAAACTGAAAGAAGTACATATACCAAAGACCTTGTTGGACCATTTTTGTTTTTGTGTAACTTTTAAAGAAAAATTAAAAAAAAAAGGTTAGAAGTTTGAAAGCTAAAGCAGTTTGTGTCTCTTTAGATAGGCATTTGTGTTCAGGTACTTAGTCATGGACTGGAGAGCGGTTTTTTTGTTATAAAATACTATGTGGTAATACTGGAATCTAAGGCTAAGTTCTCAATGAGGAAAAATTATTTCTACTGAAAGAGGGTTGTAACCAAACAAAGGATATTTTTTAAATTTCATCATCACATTTTATACTCCAGTGCAAGAATTGGTTAGAATTAGCCAGTTTTATGGCTTCTGCCTCAAATAGTGACCGTGATTATTGCCAACTCTTTCCATTTGGTTGAAGAGAATTCTTCAGCACAGGCAAAAGTAATGAGTAAAATTCTTGGCGATGTAATACTTTTTCCAGTCTAATCAGTCAATGTTGCTGTTCAGTAGCACTTTGAAGCTCAGTTATCTTGCAGAGAAACATTACTAGACTAAAGCAAGTAACTGTCATTTTGAATTGGAAGCTGGCTTATTTTTCATTGTGGAGCACAAGTACTCCTTTGTCATTTTTGTTCACAATTTGTAACTTTAGTAAACGGGAGCCCAGGACCTTATGGGAGTCCAGTCATGTTCAGCAAATGGGAAGACATAGGAGTGGTAAATGCTTGGGGGTTTTGCAGAAGTGCCTCATGTGATACCTTCTATTCTCAGCGCCAGTTAAAATTAGAACTAGACTGACATTGCGTTGGAGTCTGAGCGAGAGTTCTAAATGGTTGTGGTAGTACACCCAAGATTCATCATTTATCTCTGCTCTTGCCCAGAAAGCAATGAGTCACAGAAAATCCTTGAAAACATCAAGTAATTGAGGTAAGTTGTTGTTAAGCTCTTTCAGATGCTTGGAAGTGAAGTTACTGGGAGATCTAATTACTCAGGAGCACATTTGCAGTTGTTCTGCAGCCATGCTTGGGAATTCACTTCTGAATTGTTGGCTGTGATGGGATGATTATTAGCGTTTTATTTTCCTGGAAAATAATAAGGCCTAAGAACAAGTAGCTTTTGATGGTAGTCTTGTTATTATATAGTCAAATATCCTTGAAAACAAAGTCATATACTTGGGCCCTCTTTCATATTTCATGGTTTTAAAGCAGTGTTTATTAAACAATATGCTTTCCATAGTAAAAGAGGGTTGCCCAGTGTAAGCTTTAAACAACTGTATTGTTTTGACTATAGTCTGATACTGGTTTTAGTAGTACAAGTATTAACAAATGTGTCTTTAGATATTTGCACCCTAGTATGTATTTTCTGCACGATTTATATATTTCTAGTTTTCTACCTAAAAAGACTTGTAGTTAAAAAAATGTCTCTAAACAAGAAGATATGATAGATCAGGTAGATCACTTAATCTTGGTAGAAGTTTAATCCTAACAAATAAGGCAATTTAAAGGGTAACCACTGATCAGCAAAAAAACCTCATACAGTGTCATAGTCGTTAATGTTGCATATTGGGATGAGGAATGGGAAAGGTGATTACTGTGAGGACCACTGAAAGAGAAGTTAATCCTTTGAACTGGTAAATGTGAGCACATTTACGTGGGGGTAAGGAAAGAGGATACAGTCCTCTGTTCACAAGAAAAAAAATTAAATCTCTTTCTAGGAACCCAAATTCTGGACTGCATTGTGCCACGCTGTGGTTGCCATTTGTGTCACCTGTCAAATCCTGTCATTTTTCCTTAAGAAGCAGAGAGCCGTTAAGAATCTTTAATATTAACATATTGGACCAGATTCTTCTTTATTCAAGCATTATATTTTGATTTTCTTCTGTCTTTACAGCGGGAAGCAATCCTGACAATTTACATGTCTCGTTATTTGCTTCTCTGTACATTTTTACTTAAGTGATTTCAGTATAATCAGGCTTTACAAATAAGTACATTAGCAACAGACATGGTAAACAGAAAATAGAACGATTGACAGTTTGAATGCAAAAATGTTCACCAATTGTGCCTTGTCTATGCCATATGGACAGTTATAATGGAACAAATATGATAAAAAAAGAGTTCTCTGAAAGACAGACCTGCAGCAATTATTGTAAAAAAAAAATATATGTATGAAACTCCACTTTTGTTTTTATCTACCGCTTGTTTGGAAGACAGTTATCCTCACTTTTTTTTGGTTTGTATTAATATGTAAGATGTTTGCCTTACTTGTCTCTGCAAGTATTAGTAAAAAGTCTGAAAAGGAGCATTCAGCTCATCACTGTTCATAGTACGCTGCTGTTGGCTTGAAGGTTATCCCCCAAGCTTACCTAGATAGCAATAGCTTGGCTCTGGTTTGTCCGAAAAAACCCCTTCCCCAGATGACTACAGTGACGGCAATAAGAATACTTTTTAGGGGAGTGCACTGATTAGGAAGACTGAGTATCCTACTTTGCTGCTCTTCAGAAAAAGATGTATTAGTTATCCCACTAAGGAACAGATGACTGCAAAGCTTTAAAAAAAAATTAAAAATCACCCTAATGTGGGTCCTGACACTCAGAAGAGCTACAAGACAATTCAGAGTGAGCTGAAGAATTTAAAAAGCCTTTTCTTAGAGTTAGCGCATTACTAACCGTAAGATAGATTACAATATGTGAAATTATGAAGAAAATGAATGCAAATAAAGTATACTAATTTATTTTCAGCCACAGTTCAGTTTCTCTAAGGTGCAAAACTCCTTTAGTTACAAGTACTTATACCAGCTAGCTGCTAGGATTTAGCTGCCTTACATTGCAAGTAACAGCTTCATGTCTTCCTGGGGAGAGAATGAATGCTCATATCTGCATCTAACAGTTATGGTCAGTTCTGAGCCTGCCTTTGGGAGGAGCTGAGAGAAGCCGTTGTTCCTTGACTAAGAATGCTGACAGATTGCAGTACCATTTCTTAATTATAAGAAAATGTAAGTAGGTGCAACTATCTAGTTTTGTGAAGAGAAAATAGTTGATAAAATTTTGTCAGCTCTATGCATTAACTAAATGTAATAACATGATCAAGCAGCTATTGCAGTATTTTCACATCCCTGTCCCCATCTGGTAGCTGAGCCTGAAATTTTGCAGTTGGGTTCCTGTGACTGTATCTGAACATGTAAGGATCATGACTGAAACCGCAGTTTGCGTTGGAACGTTCTCTGCTGTGAAGACGCTTTGGGAAGTGAGAATACACAAAATAAATGAAGAATTACGGAAAGAAAAGGAGTTCAGACAGAGGTCTGCAGGAAGGTAGGTAAACTGTACATCTTTAAGTATGTGAAAAGCTAGACCGTGTGTTGTATTTCAGAAGGATATAATGGTTTTCTCAAACTCATCCAGAGCTTAATTCTTTAGTCCAGTAGAATTCCCACTGGTCAGGATCTGGCAATATGGCCAGGTCAAACCAAGAATTGTGTTCCGTGATAAAAATGTTACCATATATACTAAATCCCCTAAATTCAGATATTAAAATCCTCTCCTGTGTGCATATTCCAACCAGTGGAGGTTTAATTTGTTATGCTTTCTTCTCCATGGAGGCATAAATAGAGTCACTTGGTCTTCTGTTTGGCCAGCAGTTTCATGAAATCTAGCGTTTTATTTTTGAACACTTCTTAATTTGCCATATGTGTTTGAAATGTAACAACCAATTCAAAAGTTACTAATGGAAAATACAAGCAGAAAGAAAGATAATTAGCCTTTTTTCATAATTCTTGTTTAAGTCCCCATGGGAAATCAAGCTAAAAGAATCCCTAGCTGATTGACCTTCTTTGGTTGCACTTGCATTTGTTGGAACTGAAGGCTTTCTTTTTGGGAAACTGCTGCAGAATTAATGGTGTTGGAACTTAATTTCACGAGACTTTATTCTGTTGCCCTGCTACAACATGATGAAAGTGGATGACGTTATGTCTTCCTTCTGACTGTACATTTGAAGAACTGTAAAATAGAATTCCTATGAATGTCCTCAGCAAAACATTACTTTATGCTCTTGTCTTCCCTCAAATTGATAGTATCTTTAGCATCCAGCTAGAATAAATGTTGTTTGACATCCGGAAAGGCTGCTCATTGTTCCACAAAGTTAGAACTACTGGTAATTATTGCCTGTGTCCACTGCTGCACCACTGACAGATCTACTTTCCCTGGTAGGCTACTGCTTGTCTGGGAGGAGAGAGCCGCGTTAGCAAAGCTCAAAGAAAAGGTTATTAACGAAGATGGAAGAGCCATTTTAAGGATAGAGGAAGAAGAATGGAAGGTAGTGTTGATAGGAACGAATGTTGTTTGGGTTGAATGACTGATGCATTAGAAAACTACTATTTACAACTTTACCCTCACAGTTGTACTATTTTTAATTGATGAAGTGCTTGCTGTGTGCTTTGCTAACAATGAGTTGAGACTTGCTGCCGTGAGAGTGTAAAAGCAAGCTGATTTTTTTTAGTCCCGAATATTAAGCATTACTCTGCAAAAATATAGCCCAAAAGGCTTTTCTGCATTAGAAATTATTTACACTGCAAACTATGAGTTTAATTACGTAAATCCTCATTGAACACTAACACACCAGAGCAACTGAAATGTATCAAGGTGGAAACACTCTGTGTTTAGGTGCATGAAAATATTTCTCACTGTTTACTTTCTAGGAGGGAACACAAGCCAGTAGTTTCCCAGAATACCGTTATTCCTGTTTGTAATGCATGAGGGGAAGCGGCTAAATGTGGAATCAACAGAGGGGAAGCTGAGTCTGTTCTGAGCTGCAGAGAAATGCAGATGCCAGCTCCTATGAAGTGGTGAGAATTAGACCAGTGAGGCCAGTGACAGCAATGCTCCGGTGGTCCATGGGCCAGCGCTCCTTGGTCAGAACTCGGAGCACACAGACATTCCAGTTTTATTATCCCTCAGCTTTTCTGCTCTCAGCTGCTCACTGTTTTTTCTCACCAGCATAGGAAATACAATTTAGATCACCATTTAAATGCAAAAAAGCTATTTAGAGTAATTTCATCTTCAGTTGCATTACTGAAAACAAACAAAAGCAAGCTTGAGGCTTTTCAAGCAATGCCAGTAGTGCTGATATCGAAATCCTGGGAGCAAAAATCGGGCAGATTAAGTCTATGGTCAGGATGATCTGCACTGATGGTGTTCATTTTGGGATGTCACAGTATAGCTAGAAAAGGACGACAGCTTTATTTCTTTTATTTCAATTATTTCCCCCCCCCAATCACAAGACTGTTATTGTTTCAAATAAAATACCTAAGTCTGTATTCTGGTTGTATACTAAGCTGAAATTCTTCTGGTTCGTATTTCTTGTCTTAGACACTACCTTCGTGTTTACTGAAACTAGTGCATCTCCAGGAATGGCAGCTTCATAGAACTAATTTGCAGAAAATTCCTCAGTTCATTGGAAGATTTCACAATCTTGTTGTTCTGGATCTATCCCGGAACTCAGTTGAAAGTGTCCCTAAAGAAATTGGTGAGCTGTGCTTTCTTTTATTTTAAGCTGCTTTTCTAAGAAAATTATTCTTACACAAATGTGCCATTTTTGTGCACTTTGCGTGTCTAACAATCCTGCTGGGTAGTAAGAAAACAGAAAGTCAAACCTGACAATGAGACACAGATCTTAAAAGCATGGATTCCCTATAAATTAAAAAAATGGCCAGATGGAGGACACGTATCTTTAGGAAAGCTCCCTATGAGAAAAACTTGTAAGCACAGCAGATATTAGACATGAGAATGCAGCTACAAAGTGATACTGAAAAACAGGCTTCATGATCTGAGTTCACAGCATGAGAGGCATATCAGCATACGGTTTTTTGAGTTTTGGGGGTGTTTGGTTTTGTGTTTTGGTTTTGCTTTTTTTTTAGGAACTCAACTAGAGTACGGTTCTGTACTTACTAGCAAGTCCTGAAGTCCTATTATTTGAATTTCAATTAATCTTTTTTTTTTGAGTGAGAACACAGAGCACTTTTGTAACAATATAAGGATAACACAGAACAACTAACATTGTATTTCAAATAGAATGAATGTCAACATTTATAATTTCCCATTTGTGCTCTCTGCAGGCCAGCTGACCAACCTCCAAGAGCTGCTTCTCAGCTACAACAGGATAAAGTCTGTTCCTAAGGAAATAAGTAACTGCGTCAGTCTGGAAAGGTTGGAACTGGCTGTGAACAGGAGTATCTGTGATCTTCCTCCTCAGGTTTTGACAGACGTTTGGTTTTGTTTAGTTTTGTTTAATGCATTATTAAATGGTGCTCTCCATGTTTTCAGATTCGTTTTGATATTCTGATTTCACAAATACTCACATATGTGAACAACATTTGCATGACTAGTCAAAGTGAAGCCATGTGGGAACAACATAAATATCTATCTATCTATCTATCTATCTATCTATCTATATACACCCCTGAGTAGTTGAAGGAACCAATTTTTATTTTGTCCAGATAAGTGGTGCATTTAGAACAGTGATGCACTTGATGTTAATTTCTTTAGGCTGAAGGTCTTCCCTGACTTATCCCACTGAGGATCTGACCCCTGGCCCTGAGAAGTTCCCCTTTCTGGCTGAGAACACAATTTCATACCTTATGGCAGGACACAACTATAAGCATCTTTACCAGACCTGCTAGCTATGAAAAGGGTTTGTGTGATTTATACAAATGCCTATGCCCATCTCCTACTGAGATTTAATTTGGACTGACTTTCACTAAATGTGAAAGAAACCCGCATCTCTAAGTATTGGTCTCTTAGACAGAGATTATAAGTAAGTAACCATATTTACTTGCTTTCAATTATTTTAAAAACAGTAATGGCAATAGTTGACAGCAATATCAGTGCTTTGCAAAATTATGTGTGTCTAAACAGTAATATCTAACAAAAATCTTCAAATTAAAATACACACTATTAATCAGAATCCAGAGTTCACAAAATCTGTGTGGATGCAGGTTACATGGTGAAATGTAGAGTGATAGCTTGTTAATTAACATATTATAGCAAATACATAGTTCTGTCCTTTGGAGGCTATGGTGATGTGAACGTGGTGAAGCTTTGGTTATGTGCACTCGAGTGGTATTCAGTGTTTAGAGCATTGGACCAGATCTGCAGTAAAACACATTGCATCACTTTAACATTGTAAAAGCACTTGAAGGCACGATTCACCAATGGACTTAAGTGTTGCAATACTGAGTGAGGCTATGTTTAATTTTTAGAACGCCTCGCAAGTAGCAGTAGACTTCACATGGAAAGTGTCTAGGTTCACTCTAAAATACAGTCCATGCAGTTGGACCCATGAAAGTCAAAAATAGTTGACTAATGAAAAATGGCATATTGCATGGAGAAACACCACCGAGTATGAAACACTAAGGACAGCGGTGTCTTTGAAGTTCCTTTTCTTCTCAAGTCTTGGGGTGTATCTGCATTGTAATCTTGACATTCAGCTTCTGAGCAGTTGGGGCACTCAGGGCCAGGTTGGCAATAAAGTTCTTCTGCCTGAGCAGTTTCAAACCCACCAACCTTCCAGGTGACAAGTGTAATTGTCAGTGAATATCAGCTAATGTAACTCAAACCATTCTGTTTACTAAAAAATGTGTTGTAATGTTTTTAAATGGTTTCTTTTTCCAGTCAACATTATTACAGCACTGCTGTAGTGGAACAGCTATACAGACTTGCATTAAATCTCCCTTTCTTTTCAGCTCAGTGATTTAAAGAAGCTTTCACACATAGATTTGTGCATGAATCAGTTTACTACCATCCCTCCAGCTCTTCTCAACATGCCAAATCTAGAATGGTTAGATATGGGGGGAAATAAACTCCAGGAGCTTCCTGAAGCGATTGACAGGTAAATAAAGCTCAAAGCACACATCTTTAGTCTCAATTGCATTGCATTGAAATTCTAATTCTTAAATCCTACTTCAAAAGATTATTTTAATGTTAACCTCGCAGCAAACTTAAGATTTATCAACCTTAATGTGGTATTTTGGATGAGCTGGAAAAAATCCATTCAATAAATTCAATGTCGGCTATCAAATATTTCTTGTCAATGACATTTTTGGCTAGAGGTTAAGTGACTATCTCGAATACGAGGTTTTCTTTGCTAATTGATAATTTTCTTTGATAATTCTTTATGGGAGTCCTTTATGTGGCTGTAAAAATGAATCAATTACTTTATATTAATGACTGACAAGATTAATTTTCTAAATCTTGATTGATCGTGCAAATGCCTATTTTACAGAATGGAAAATCTCCACACATTATGGCTCCAAAGAAATGAGATAAAGTCTTTGCCAGCAACTATTAGAAATATGACAAATCTTAGTACTCTTGTTCTTAGCAACAACAAACTCAAGGATATTCCAGCTTGTATGAAGGATATGACAAATCTAAGGTAAGAAAAAGCAACAGAAATAGAAATGAAAATACTAGAAGAGAAGTTTTAAAGCCTCCATTGAGTTGTATATCATAGAGTGATGCTAAGGAAGTAGAAAAGGCACGTCCACAGTTGTACAGTTGGGCACAATGCTGTAAAAATCAGCCTAATTACACAGATTGACAACAGCTGAGGATCTGGTCAAGAAAGCTTTGTGTAGCACAACTCATTTAAAGAAGTAAGCTATGACTGTTACAGCCCACAATGTAAAATGAGACTGCAATGCATTTCCTCATTTCTGAAAGGTCCAAATGCTCCCTTCTAATTGGCCTTTTATGTCACTCTCTAAAGCCAAGAGCTAGAAGGGAAAATACATGACAAGCACAAAATGACGAAAAGTAGAACTTTGCAACTGAAAATCCTTCTTGTTTAATTCTGAATGCTTGACTTAGGTACAAGGATGTGGGTGAAGCTCTCCTGTATTTGATTTGAAAAATAAAAGAACAAATGTAATTTTTTACTGGTAGCATTTGAAATATTTTGTATGCTGTGACTGAAACTTTCCTTTTATTTGCATTTTCATTTGAATTACTGGATGCTGGCCCCTTTACAAAAAAAATATAAAAATCTAAGTCTAAATAAATCACATCTAACCCAGTAAGACAATTCCTGTTTTCAGATGTTTCAGAAGAAGCAGCACCTCTTAAGACAAATATATACAAGCATAGGCCAGGGATGGGCCAAGAACAGAGAGAGACAGGGCTTCCCTGCAAAGTTAGGAGGATGCAGGCATTTGTACTCTCATTCTCATCCATTCATCTGTTTGTGAAAGCTCAGTAAGGCTTGCAGTGGGGTGAAAACCTGAGGACAAAATGACCTGGACGAGGGAATTGAGCGTACTATCAGCAAGTTTG